GGCTCTGAAAAGTAAAAAAAAAACGACCTACTTGATAGTCGAGTTTCATATCATGGAACAACACTTCGAGGAAAACATTGGCAACACCGATCAGATTATGATGTTCCTAAACAAGTTAAGATAGATCGCACTACTAACTTCACAGGAAGAACGAATGACGGAATTTTTATGTATCCCTTAATGTGGTAGAAAAAAGTATTGGTCACGCCAATAAGCAAAGTCTGAAGCGGAAATGGGATCAAAGATGGGCGCGGAGACGAAAGGCTCACCATGCAGCCTCAGATGGGCTGGGTGGCAATAAGTTGAAGTGCGACGTCGCGCCCAGTCACAGTCAAATTTGCGCACCAAATGCGAACGGACTTCGTTGCGGTGCGTGTTGCGTGCGGTATGCTACACGCACCATGCATACGTCTAGTATGGCCATATCGAGAGGTTTGCAATTTGTTTCTCGCAAAAGATCGAGTTATTTATGCAGACATAACAACATATATGTGGCATGGAATGACCAACGATCAAACGTCACACCTCACATTAATTTTTTGGGGCTCTCCACGTGTGCCATGCAGAACAGAATTAGTAGCCGTGAAAAAGGTCTCGAAAAAGTCAATGTAACGTGTGCGTTCTGTGTTGTTGAGTACCTTACTTCACGCCTATGCCGCCTGCGAAAAGTATGTGCACCTCCCCTCAGCCGTCCTGCGGAAGTGTGTTCATACAATGCGCTAAGTTGCCTTTTCGTTTATTATCAGAGAACTCAAATGAAACGAACCTGACTCTCGAAAAATGGATCGATCATAACTTCATCGGGAGATGACGGAGGTAGGGAGCGAGAGGGAGAGCTTTCAGGACTTGATGTACATGATGGTACTCTGTAAAACAATCGCTGACAACGTTTCTTTGAAATAGCCACTTTCACTAAAGACTGAAACGGTTCCCCACCTCGGTACACCGTTTATCTTATCATTATACATTTCCCTCATATCGATTAGTTTGTTCTCCAGTTGCGCCACGGTCCACAATTGACTTCCACTCATGCCCGATCGGCGAACAACAATCACTGGCTCACAGACAAATGTTCCTGCCTGTAACAGGGAAGAAAATTCCAGCGCGAAAGGACACGTTGTATTTTCTACAAGAAATCAAGTGACTGCGGCTGCTCAAGTTATTAGACACTTAGCCGTTAAACAACGATTGGCATCCATGCGGGCAGGGTTTAAAGCGTGCTTTATGGTTAGAAGGCAGCCCATCAGAATTAAAGTAGAGGTGGTCAGAAGTGAAGTGATA